TAGCTACAAACAGAGATTGAGAATGTAGTTTTAAGTACAGAATATGTAAGCAGGTTGTGTGGTAGAATTCACTTTGTATTCATCCTGCTTTACATTTGTGTCTGGCAGCCTTTTATTATTCTTTTACAATTTTTAATTGATTTATTTACATTTTCTTACAAACGTTTACTTTACAAAATATTAAAATTTTTTGCTCATATTCCCTAGTTCTTGAGAGTTAATAAATTGCAAAATTTTCTCAAAAAACTGAATTTTAAAGATAATTTTCAAAATATTTGTTATAATTTTGTTTGTGACTCTATAACAGAGACAGTATGGTTTTAAATATTTTTGACATGTTAACTACTCAAGCTGTTGGGAAGCAAACACCCAGCACACAATTCACACATGGACCTTCCCAACTCAGTTCTACCTACCAAATATTCTGTGATTCACTATCTGCTAGCAAAGATCAGCTTCTTTTCCTTCCTTCAGAGTCCTCCTCAAGGTAATCCTCTGGTTGTGGCTGTTCTTTAGAAATCTTTACTGATTATAGTGCTGGGCTGGAAGAGTCCAGGTTATTCTATGGTATGAATTCTTTCATATGGTTTCTCTAATCCTCTCTGCCAGGCAGAACTGTTTATGGTGCCAGGCAATTTTTCCAAGAGCTTCTGTTGGCTTTCTTGAGATCTACCTTAGTTCCATAGTTTTCTGGTCATATCTTCAGATATGACATTTCAGTCAGAGCCCTGGCTATAACAAGTATTTCCAATTTCTCTTTTTTTTTTTTGAGAGAGGTTTTTTGCTATAGGGCGTGTGCGCTCGCCAGACAGAGAGAGACAGAGAGACAGAAAGCGAGAAATCACCCCCCGGGGGGATGGCCACACCACAATCCCTTCTCCTCCGTTCTCTTCTTGGGATCTTGGGCATGCACGCACACGCGCCCGGCGTGAGTTTAAGCCACCAGGTCCGGGACGCAAATCGCGGTCGACTACGTGGGAGTCCAGCGACATAGCCATTACGCTAAACTGCTGGTTCCCATGTATTTCCAATTTCTGATGCAAGGCAACAGATATTATTGAGCTTATGCAAATAACCCTTCTGCCACAAAATAAGAATACTCACAAATATTTTTCAATTCCAGAGGGGTCAGGAAGGGATAAAAAATTATGTTTCAAATTAAAAAAGCAGGGACCAGCAGGTAGGGTGGTGGTTAAGGCACTGGATACTCCCATATGGCCGGCCATGGTTTGAGTCCTTGACCTGGTGGCTTGCTTTCTCACTTTTCCTCCCTCTCTCTGTGTCTCTCTCTCTGGTCAAATTAAAATAAATGAATGAATAAAATTAAATAAATAATTATATTTTTAAAAATTAAAAAAAAACATGCAAAAAACCATTTTGACAAATTGCTGAAACTACCAACGGCTCAATAGAAAGCAAAATCCTTAAATCTGGAAAAGAAAGCATAGTAAAAAAATCAGTACTGTTTTAGTCAAAAGTCATAAATTTCTATTTCACCAGTTCAGTCTCATGTAACTAATCTCTCTTCTGTTGAATTAGCACTGTTACTTTGGTCCTTTCCTTTTAAATCCTGGAAGTTAACAATCAATGTTGTTATTGATATTTCTGGATTTGTCCCTAGCATTTTCTTGGTTGCTTTTGTTCTCTTATTTCTGTCTGTGTTGATTTTAGTTTTCCTGGTATTCCCTTCAGAATTTTTTGGAGTTGTTCTGGTGTTGGTTAATTCTTTCAGGTTTTGTTTATCTGAAAATGGTTTTATCTTTTCTTCCCATATGAAGGATAATCTTTCAGGGTATGGCATTTTTAGTTGAAATTGTTTTTCATTTAACACTGAATATATTTACCTACTCCCTCCTTGGTTTTCCTTGCTCTTATTGTTCCTGATGAGAGGTCTGATGTTAACCTGATAGGATAACCTTTGTAAGTAACCTCATATTTCTCTCTTTTAGTGTCTTGTCTTTATCTGTGGATTTGGCCAAACTAACTGTAATGTGCCTCATAGAAGACCTTGGGTTGATTATATTCGGGGTCCTTTGTATTTCTTGAGTCTCGATATCTGAATGCCTCTCTAGGTTTGGAAAGTTTTCTTCCAGGAGTTCATGGAATAGTCTATCAGTACCCTTATCAGTTTCTTCACTCTCTGGAATACTGATTATCTGAATTTTGGGGCACTTAATGGTATCTAGTATTTCTCGTGTGTTACGCTTATGTTTTTGGGCTATCTTCTCAGTCTTTTTAGTGATTTTTTTCTAGGTCATGAAAAACTTCCTCACCTCCTGGCACTTGTCTCTTTTCTCTTGTACCTTCTGGAGTTCATTTTTTCTCATGTCTTGCATCTCGTTTAGTTTTGTCACTGTGAATGTTCTGAATTCTTTATTGGATATTTCCATGAGTTCCATTGTGTACCGTCTTTTGATGATGAAGTGTTGTTCTTTTCCCTTGGAGGAGAGATATTTTCTTGATTTCTCATATTTCTTGCACCTCTGTGGTGATTTCTGGTCATCTGATGGATTATATGTTTCTTCCTAATTTCTTGGAGTTAATTCCAAGGAGGAGGTGATCTGCAGTCTCTCTGCAGTTCCGGTTCCCTGATGCTCATGAAGCAACCTGCGCTTTTGATCTTGGAACTGGATATTACAAAGGCCTCACAGTTCCTAGGGAATAGGTACACTTGGGCTGAACTGCAGGATTTCAACTGAGAGTTCAGAGGCGTGTGTGAGATGAGCCACGCTATCTACAGCTCTGTACTTCTCCCTGTTGCTCACTTTGCTGTCTCTCTTCTCTGAATTTGAGTCATTTGGTGGTGTTTTCACTTTTGGATGATTGCTTAGAGAAGGTTTCTGCAATTGTAAGATCATGTACTTCCCTTTACCGTAACTTACTTCTGAGACAATTTCTCTCTTCTACTGTGTTTTGCAAGATGGTATCCATAGAAAGAGGTTCAGATATATAAAGAGGAGTTTCTTCAGGCAGCAGGTTCAGTAAGGATTGAGGATTTCTGTGATCCTAAAGTATTCAGATGCTTGGCTACTGTACACCTAGGCCTGTCTAGACACTCAGTGTGTGGAGGCTAAACAGCAGAGTAAGATCAGTCGCCTTGGTCCCAGAACACAGCAGGACACACCTCAGATACAAATGGCTTCTTGCTGAGCTTTTGGGGGGTCTGGAAGATGGAGTTTAGAGCAGAGACTCAGTCATCTTAGTCCCAGAACATGGCAAGACACACCTCAGATTTAAATGGCTTCTTGCTGAGCTTTTATTGGGGTCTAGAAGATGGGATTTAGAGCAGAGATTCAGTTGCCTTGGCCCCCTCCCCCCTTTCATTAGTGAGGCTTTTGCTATAGGGCACGTGCACTTGTCCGAGACACAGAAACAGAAAGTGAGAAATCCCCCCCCAGGGTGCCAGCCATGCCACAATCCCTTCTCCTCCATTCTTCTCTTGTGATTTTGGGCATGCATGCACATGGGCTCAGTGTGAGTTTTAAGCCGCTGGGTCTAGGACTCAAACCATTGTCGACTGTGTGGGATCCAGAAATGTAACTATTATGCCATCTGCTGGTCCCAGCTTTTCTTAAAACAAGGACTGTTTTCCATAAAGCAGTTTTGCAGAGAGTGAATGCACCTCATGCCACCTCGTAGGTTTGGGAGCAGATTGAGCTTTTTCACCCTGTGATATTTATTAAAGAACATTTGTCGAGTATCTCTTTTTCCATTGCTCTGTGCTCATTACTGCTGTTGGGGCGAGGGTAGGGGTGGAGGGCAGTGAGGTCCTTGTCCCCAGGAGTTTATTTTGTAGAGGACCCTAAACTAACTAGGCCTTAAACTCGAGTGGTTTATATACTGTACTAATTAGAGCACAGAACATAAGTGTGAAATATGTTCACTTGTTTTTGTTGTTTCTTTTAATTAAATGAAATATACTTCATGGGACCAGCAGGTGGCGTGGTGGTTAAGGTGCTGGACACTCCCACATGGCCGACCAAGATTCAAGTCCTGAATCTGGTGCCTTGCTTTCTCACTTACTCTCTCTCTCACTCTCACCCTCTGTCTCTCTCTGGTCAAATTAAAAAATGAATGAATGAATAAATAAAATAAGATAATTATATTTAAAAAAGGAAATATACTTCAAAGTCATTGACTATCTTTTTAAGCAACTGAGTTGACTTTTTGTTCTTGTTAAGAAAGATGAGAAGATTTTTTAAAATGTTCTTAAATTGTATAAATTACACTTTTTCTCATAGACTTCTTAGGTGCATTTGTCTTCTATAACATCTGATTCATGAGAGGACCAATGAAAGCAGATTCCACATTCAGGGTTCTATGGGATGGCTGATCCATCTAGCTTATTTGTTTTAAAGTGTAGTGCTCAGGTCACCAGTATCAGAGAGATGAACTGGAGGTGAGTTGTAGATCGAGTACATTGGACTTATTATAGTGGCACCTCTTCATGTCAGTTCTCACAGACATTCGGGGTGTTGGTGTGTTAATAAACATTACCAGATAAGGGTACAAATTGTGATTATTATTGGGGAAAAAAAACTAGGAGTTCCATTTTTGCAGATGAAAAGTAGTACCTTTATTTTGTATAGTTTCTGTGTATGCTCCTTCATGCTTTTTGGTGGTAAATATATTGTAACTTAAATTTAGCAATATTGTAGAAATATCTAGAAAATTAATCTCCATATATATTATTCAGAAGAATGTAATGATTAATAAGTCAAAATTTGGGGGGCCAGCAGATGGCATGGTGGTTAAAGGTGCTGGACTCTCATATGGCCGACCACGATTCAAGTCTCAGACCTGGTGGCTTGCTTTCTCACTTCCTCTCTCTCTGTCTCTCTCTGATCAAACTGGAAAATAATAATGATAATAATAAATAAAGTTAAATAAAATAATTCTTTAAAAAAGTCAAAATTTATACATACTCATCCTTATTGATCATGAAAGAGCTTGACTTGATGAGATAGCTGCATCATTTCCTTATGTTCTTTTTTGTTTAGTTGGTAATCCCATTAACTACCCAAGATGACTTGGACAAAGCTGTGGAACTACTGGATCGTAGTGTTCATATGAAGAGCCTCAAGATATTACTTGTATTAAATGGAGGTACACAGGTATGAATTGGGATTTTTTTATTTTCAGTAAGGATTGTAGGGTTTATGCCTGTAAAAATCAGTATATGAAGCATAGATTATTCTGTAATTATTAATATATTTTCAGTATGATTAGATATAAACTTCCATACTAATTGCTGTATTTTAATATCTTTACTCCTCAAAATGACATCATCAAAATTACAAATAAGTACATATTGTACATAAGAAACTAATAGAAACTGATACCTTGGGAAGAATTATGTTAGAATTAAAATGTCAAAGATTAGGAAAATTTGATAAGGCCCATGAACAGTATAGAATAATAGGTAAATTGTATTTGGTAGGGAGAGAATTCTGTTTAAAGCCTTAAAGGGAAAAAATAGCATTAATTGTTCTTTTTCCTTTGCAGGCTGGTAATTTAGAACCGTTGCCATCACTAGATGATTTGGACAATACAGTATTTGGAGCAGAGAGGAAAAAACGGCTTTCTGTAATAGGTAAGAAGTTAGTATCTGAAATGAGTGATTTCTCAACAGCTTTTCCATTCTTTAATGTAGAGTAACACCTAAACTTTCTCTGATAAATAGTATCCTATCTCTGTACTCTCTGTACTTTGTATAAGCTAACTACATTCTCTCAATAGTATCTGATGTCCCTTGGAAATTCGTTAACACTATTACAGGATTAACAATCTCCAGTTTAAGTTTATTATTTTATTTATACCCAGATTGTTTTAACGTTTAACTATATTGCTGATGTAGTTCAGAAACATAGCTTATTTAATCAAAAGAAAAACTGATTTCTTGCTATGTTTGTAAAATCATTTAATTTTTCTGCTTTGAGGTCCCAGTAGTAGAGATAGAAGTTCCCCTCCCCCAGGATACATTCCAGATGAATTACACCAGGTGGCCCGGAATGGGTCATTTACCAGTATCAACAGTGAAGGAGAATTCATTCCAGAGAGCATGGACCAAGTAAGCAAAAGTTTGATGTTGTTTGTCATTTTATTTCAAGAGATGTTGTCAAGATCATAGTGATTTGGCAAGTATTGTGTGTATGTGGGGCAGGGGAGTGAGGGCAGGAGTTGGTTGGTTTAACTCTTTTTCAGTCCTACATCATCTTTAATTTTTTAAGAATTATTTAATTTTATTTATCATTGTGATTATTTTAAAATTTGCTGTAGGACACAGGTGCTTCCCAGAGAGAGAGGCAGAGAGAGGAAGGGAGAAAGCAAGCTGCTAAATCTGAGACTCCAACCATGGTTGGCTTTGTGGGAGTCTAACACTATAACCACCATGCCACCCGCTAGTCCTTGTCTTAAGTGAACAAAATAGTAAAATATATGGGAAAAGTCCATTAATTCATATGCCCCTCTTTGTATTGATGTATAAAGAAAGCTAAAATAAGGTTGATCTTCTTAGATTGTTCATCCATAAATGAATGAATGAATAATGCATATTTTTTGTGATCCTGGGATTAATGTTAAAGATTTTTTTAAATTAACATTTGAAAAAGTAAAACTACAAATACTTAACTTTGTAAAACTGAGGTTTGAGAACTCTCTGTTAGGTTATTGGAAAAGTCATGATTTAATTTTCTATGCAAAAATGCATCATGACTTAATAACCCAATAAAATACATTTAAAATATTTTAGTTTTGTAGTATTAAATGTTTTTATAGAAGTTCTCTTATTCCCTTACATTGCATTGTATTCTCACACTCTTGCCATAATTTTCATTTTTTAATGATATAGCTGTTGCAGTGTCAGTAGTCTCAATTTGGACAGAGCTGTTGTTCAGTTTTTAGCAAATCTATGTGAAATGTTTTAGCCTTTAATTATTTATCTAATAGTTCATAGGGAAAGGACACAAGAGGTCTTCAGAAGATTCGTGGAAAATGGGTATTATGAAAAAACTACATGGATTTCAGAATTGTTTTGCACCAAAATAAACTCATATTAACTTGTTATAACATGTCTGAACAGAATATAGTTTGAGGCACTGAGAAGAGGGAAACACCAGTTTGAAACGAGCCCCTATCAGAGCTGCATGAATTCTGCCAAAATTGAAGCAAGAACAAACAAATTTGTGGTGAAGCTTGGGCAGAAGAATGCTGAAATCATTGATGCTTTATGAAAAGTATATTATGAGAATGATGCCCCAATGAAATCAGCAGTTTGCAAATGGATAATTGATTTTTTTTTCCCAAGCCAAACTGTATCCAGCTTTATTAGATACTTTTCATAAACAATCATGGTATTTCAGGCAGAACATGGGCAGACAATTGTTAACAGTATACAACAACTTTAGGGGACCAGCAGGTGGTATGGAGCTTAAGGCGCTGGACACTCCCACATGGCTGACAACTATTCTAGTCCTGGACCTGGCGGCTTGCTTCTCTCTGTGTCTCTCTCTGGTCATATTAAAAAATGAATTAAATGAATAAATAAAAATTAAATAAAAATAATTCTTTAAAAACAGTATACAACAACTTTCAAACTCCCTTCTTCAGTGGACTACCAAGATCAGAAAGCCTGTATAAAACCCAATGAAGTCTTAATTTGATGCTCTGAACAGAGAAAGTTTAGAGTGGGGGTTGACAATTAGCATGTTGTTTTAACAACTTTTCATGAGCCGACCCTGACTTTCGGGAAATGAAAATGGCAGAATTATTAATCTGAAGATCCAACAATATAGAAAAGGAACTGCTGCTCTTTTGAAAGGTGCTATCTCAATGTCATTGGGAAGTCCAGATTGCCTGGTAAACTGGTATAACCAATTTTCCGTGGTCAGGTCCCAATGGGTCTCTGGTTAAAGAGAGTTAAGTCTATGCTGAAGGCAGAGAGGGAGAAGGCTAATGTTAAGTTTTCCACACGCAAGGCATCTGTGCCAAGGTGGCTGTGTGTGTAAGGGAATCCCTCCTCTAGGGAGCCAAGAGGAAGTCTCTCAAAACTAGAAGGGAAAAAACAAACAAACAAACAAACAAAAACTAGAAGGGAAAAATGTTATCCAAATCAATCTAGCTTCAGAGACATTCTATTAGTGGCACATGCCCCTTCACCCCAAAACAACAATGAAGGTTTCTGTGTGCTAATAATATAGATTAAAAAAAAAAAAAAAAAGTAAAACAAAATTCTGCATTTTTATAAAACTTGATTAAAAAAATAGTATTTCAAACTGTACAGTCACCAGAAGTACACAGTTATCAAAAATGCGCACACTTCACTTGGCATCTCCAGCACTTTCAGCTTTCAGTGCCTGGTCTGTTTTAGCATGTCCATTTTCTGCAGGGTTATTCCCATCCTTGCCAGTATCAGCTCTTCCCTTTTTTCCCTTTGGGTATCTTCTCTCCCTTCTTTACAGAGGCCTTGTTAAGCTTGGACTCTGGCTTTGGAGGAGCAGATTTCACAGACAACCTTGCAGATCTCTGTGGTTCGTCCTTCATCTTGGCTTTATCTCCTTTAGCATTCCCTTCAGCCTTTCTCTTTGGCATGTGGCGACAACGGTGGGATGTAGGTGCTGGACACGGGATGCAGCAGCGCGCAGGCTTTGGTCGGTCCGGGGGTCACTCTTGCCTCTTCTTCTTCACACTGCTCCTGGATAATTGATTTTAAGAAGAGATGAAATGATACTGATGATAGTACCCTCAGTGGCAGACCATCCACATCAATTGGCAATGAAAAGATTAATCTTGTTCTTGCTCTAATTGAAAAGGACCAGTGATGAACAGGAGAGACAATAGCCATCACCACAGACATCTCAATTGGTTACACAATTCTGACTGAAAAGTAGAGCAAACTTTCTGCTCAGTGGGTACCAAAATGGTTGCACTCAGATCAGCTACAGATAAGATCAGAACTTTCTTTTTTAAAAAAATATTTGTAGATGGGACCAGCAGATGGCATAATGGTTAAGTCACTGGACTTTCACATAGTTGACCGCAGTTTGAATTCTGGACCTGGTGGTTCAAATTGAGGCTGGGCACATGTGCGTGTGTGCCTGCTCAAAATCCCTAGAGAAGGGATTGTGGTGTGGCTGTACCCTCTGGGGGGTGATTTCTTGCTTTCTGTCTCTGTCTCCAAAGAGCACACATGCCCTATAGCAAAAATCTCTCTTTAAAAAAAAAAATGGCTTGTAGAGGGGCTAGCAGATGGGATAGTAGTTAAGGTGTGCTGGAATCCTACTTGATTGACTGTGGCTTGAGTCCCAGTCCCAGTCCCAACTTGAAACTCATGCCAGGCATGTCTGCGTGCATGCACCAAATTCTGAGAGGTAAATGGAGGGTAAGGGATTATAGTATGGCCATCACCCCTAAGGGGTGATTTCTTGGTTTCTCTTTCTCTGACACTACAAAGAGCCCCTGTGTTCTACAGGGGAAAAAAAAAAAAACATGTTTTCAGGCCAATAGGTGGTATGGTGGTTAAGGCACTGGATTCCTACATGGCCAACTATGGTTCAAGTCCCAGACTTGATGACTTGAAAATCATGCTGGGCACATGTGCATGAATGCCCCAGATCCTGAGAGGAGAATGGAGGAGAAGGGATTGTGGTATGGCCATCCCTGCCCCATCCCAGGGCATTGATTTCTCACTTTCCCTATCTTTTTCTCTCTCCAACAAGCACATGTACCCTGTGGCAAAAGCCAAAAAAAAAAAAAAAAAAGAGCTTGTTATTGACCCAGCGGACGTTAAGGCAGCTGGATTCCACGTAACCAACTCTGTGATTGGAGTCTCAGACCCTGCAGCTTAAAAATCACTCTGAGTGGGTGGGCTTAGGGCTGACAGGTAGTGTGGTGATTAAGGGTACTGGACTCCCACATGACTGACCATAGTGCCAGTCCCGGACCTGGTGGCTTGCTTTCTCAGCCATCCCCTGCCCCCGTCACTCTCTGGTCAAATTAAAATAAACAAATAAAGTTTAATAAAATAATTATTTTTAAAAAATCACTCTGGATGGCCCAGCAGGTGGTATAATGATTATGTCGTTGAATTCCCATGTAGTTGATCATGGTTTGAGTCCTGGACTCAGAAGCTTAAGCTTAAAACTCATACCAGGTGCATGCGTATGCATACCCAAAATCCCAAGAGGAGAATGGAGGAGAAGAGATTGCGTTGTGGCCATCCTCCAGGTGTAATTTATTGTTTTCTGTTTCTCTGTCTCTCTGTCTCTCAGGTGAGCACACACACCTTATAACAAAAATATCTCTTTAAAAAAAAAAAATGACACTGGTCGTGTGTGTATGCATATCCAAAAATCCTGAGAGGAGAGAGAAGGGGTTGCAGCAGGGCCATTCCCCCGGGGCAGGGTGCGTGAGGGGGAAATTTTAACTTTCCCTCTCTCTTTTTCTATCTCTGTTTTTCTCAGTGAGTTCATGCACCCTATAGCAAAAACTTAGAAAAAGAAAGCTTGCTGTAGAGCATGTGTGCTTGCCTGAGATTGGGGGGGGTGGTGGTGAGAAAGCACCCCCTAGAAGCTATGGCCGTGCTGCAGCCTCTTTTTCTCTATTCTTCTCTTGGGATTTTGGGCACACATGCCCAATGTTGTTTTTCAGGACTCCAGGTATAGCACTTGATCAAGATCCTAAAGCATTTCTTTGAAGAATTTTAACCATAAATGACACATCTTTGCTACTACAATCCTAAAGACAAAGCACAAAGTAATGAATACCAACATGTGAAAGTGGTCCAAAGTGAAAGCAGGCTAGTCAAGAGCAAAGGTCATGGCCATAAATTTTTTGAAATGCTTAAAGCATTTTGCTTGTTGACTTCCCAGAGGGCCCCAAAATAATATCTGCTTATTATGAAGGCATTTTAAGAAAATTAACCTAACCTTCAGCAAAAAAGAGGAAAGAAAGAAAGAAAGAAAGAAAGAAAGAAAGAAAGAAAGAAGAAAGAAAGAAAGGAAGGAAGGAAGGAAGGAAGGAAGGAAGGAAGGAAGGAAGGAAGGAAGGAAATGCTTGGGAAAGCTTCACCAAAGAGTTCTCCACCTTGACAATGCTCCTGCTCATTTCTCATCAAACAGGCGATTTTGCAAGAGTTTTGGTGGGAAATCATTAGATGTCTGCCTTGTGATCCTGATTTGGCTGCTTCTGACTTCTTTTTTTTTTTTCCTAAATCTTAAAAAGTCTTTAAAGGGCACCCATTTTTTCTTCAGTTCATAATATAAAAAAGATTACACTAACATGGTTAAAGTCTCAGGATCCTCAGGGATGGACTAAATTGCTATTTTCATCATTTATAAAAGTGTCTTGACCTTGATGGAGTTTATGTTGAGAAAGTTTTTTTTAAAACATAATTCTTTTACTTAATTTTACTTATTTATTTACTTGTTTTAATTTGACCAGGGAGGGACAGAGAGAGAAAAAGAGAGAGAGAAAATGAGAAAGCAAGCCTCCAGATCTGAGACTTGAACTGTGGTATGCCATGGGGGAATCCAGTGCTTTTAATCACCACTCCACCTGCCAGCCCTGAGAAAGATAATGTTTTTAATTTTTATCTTTTTAAAAAGGTTTATTTCTTTTAAAAAAATATTTATTTTCATGTTGTTATTATTTTTTTAATGAGGAGAGAGAGAAAAAAATGAGAGAGCAAGCTACCAGGTCCCAAACTCAAACCATGATCAGCCTTGTAGGAGTCCAGCACTCCAACCACCATGCCACCTGTGGCCCAAAAAGGCTTATTTATTTTGCCACCTGCCGGCCCCCAAAAAGCTTATTTATTTCTTAGTAGAGAAAGAGGCATCCCCAACAAAGTTTTGATGCTACCATCTACTCTCAGTTTCAGTCAGACTGGATGGTGTGCACACACATGTCCAGCATACTCAGAGAGGTCTCAATGTGAACCATATGGGTCAGCCTCATAGAACATTGAATTTTACTGTTGTGCCAGCGTTGGCCCCTACTTTTATGTTTTAGTTTTATTTTCCACAAACTTTATGAAGTTCCCATGTATTTTTCTCTCAGGAAATTTTGAAGTTGTGGCTTATCTAAAGAAGATATTTTAAAAAATGAGTGACTCTTGGGGCCAGCAGGTGGTGTGGTGGTTAAGGACGCTGGATTCCCACATGGCCAACCAAGGTTCAAGTCCCAGACCTGCTGGCTTGCTTTCTCACTTTCCCTCTCTCTCTCTCTCTCTCTCTCTGGTCAAATTAAATAAATAAATAAATAAGTAGATAGATAGATAAATAAAGTTTAATAAAATAATTCTTTTTAAAAAAGTGAATGACTCTCTGACCAGCAGATAGCATAATGGTTCCATTGCTGGACTCCCACATAGTTGACTATGGTTTGAGTCCTGGACCTGGCGGCTTAAATTCATGCTGGGTACGTGTGCATGCATGTCCAAGATCTCACGAGGAGAATAAAGGAAAAGGGATTGTGGCGTGGCCATTCCCCCAGAGGGTGATTTCTCGCTTTCTGTCTCTGTGTGTCTCTCTTATCTTTCTGGCAAGCTATGTACCCTATAGCAAAAATCTCTCTTCAAAAAAAACTCAAAAGAGTGACTCTGAAAGTGATTGCTTGCTGTTGGGTATGAGGCTTCTTTTAGGGGTACTGAAAATGTTCTAACGTTGTGGTGAGGGTCACACAACTCTCAATGCCATTGAATTTTACACTTCTAGATGCTTAATAAAGTATGCTGATGAATTATATCTCAGTATAGCATTTAAAAACTTTTATTATTAAGTAGCATTTGGTTATATCAGATCATATGATGGTGGAACTCTTTCTTTTCCTAGATGCTGGATCCATTATCTTTAAGCAGCCCTGAAAATTCTGGCTCAGGAAGTTGTCCATCACTTGATAGTCCTTTGGATGGGTAATGTTTGTAGTTCTTTACTTTTTAATAATATGGCAAAATGCATATAGATAGCATGATGAATCATGAGTAATTGGTTTGTACAACTTTGATAGGAGTATAATTAATTGATACTTGTCTCTACTGATGGCAAATAAATTTTTCAGTGTGGTTAAATCCCTTCACCTCATGGGATTCATCTCTCTATTAGTGAAAGTGATATCTAGGGACCAGCCAGTGACATGGTGGTTAAAATGGCTGGATCTTGCATGGCCAATCTTGCAGTTTGAGTTTTGGACCAGGTGGCTTTAAAAACATGTTTGGTGTCTGTGTATGTGTGCCCAAAATCCTGGAAGAAGGGAGGTGGAGAAGGGCTTGTGGTGTGACCATTCCCATAGGGGATGCTTCTTCATTTTCTCTGTCTCTCTTTAGGTAGCATACATATCCTTCCAAAGTTTTAAAGAAAACAGATATCCAACTATATTATTTTGAGTGGTCCTTACCAAAATTGTGTGTTTGAAGGCAAATGCAAACTTAGGATTTATGTATACTTACTTTTGAAACTGTTTTTGAAACAAATTTTTCATTAGTATGTTTTGTTTTTGAGCTCTTTTGAGTTGTTTCATCTGTTCAGGATTATGTTCCTTTTGGCACCAGCTCAGAAATAGCTTACATTCTTGGTAAACGGGGCCCAATGTGTTTGTTGTCACTTCAAAATTTTAAGTACTTTGCCTTTGTGAAATAGCTGTTCAAGAAAATGAGCAGGATCAATTTGCGACTAAATTTTTTTCTTACAAGTGCTCCCTCTTCTAGTCTCAGTAGGAGAATGTTTTTCGTAGACACCCTGTAGCACACAAATAAGAGTAAATATGAAAATCTTTACCTGTTTAATCTCCCTTGTGGTTGCATTATAAAAAGCAGATTCTGGAAAGATAACTAATACTATATGAGAATATATGTTTAATTTTCTCTTATTCCTATATATAAAACCTTTGTGTCAAAGTCTACTTTAAGACATTTAGGGAATTATCATTGAGAATGCTACATATTGAATACTTCCTATCTGTAATAGAAAGTTTTTTTTTTTTTTGGAGATTTTTTGCTATAGGACATGTGCACTCTCCAGAAAGACAGAGAGAGACAGAGAGACAGAAAGCGAGAAATCAGCCCCCTGGGGGGATGACCATGCCACAATCCCTTCTCTTCCATTCTCCTCTTGGGATCCTGGGCACACACGCACATGCGCCCGGCATGAATTTAAGCTACCAGGTCCGGGACTCAAACCGTGGTCGGCTATATGGGAGTCCAGTGACATAGCCATTACACTAACTGTTGGTGCCTGTAATAGAAAGTATTAATGCTTCCTTTACATACCAATGAAGAGTTAGAAATGATTATCTTGTTTTTATACATGTGGAAATAGTCTCAGAAAAGTGATCTGCCATGGTTATGCAGTTAAATTAGCAGAGCTCAGATTGAAATTGGTGTTTTTCAAACACCTGTGATTCTTAAATATTCTACCACTGTACTCTATAGATTAATTTTTATAAGTCTGGGCTTTTTGTCTACGTGTAGCAAATAAATGTTTAAAAGAAGTTCTTTTTTTAGTTTCAGAGTGAGTTTGTGTGTGTGTATGTATGTACATATATAAATATAATACATATGAGTTATATGTGTGTGTATGCATGTATGCACACACATATACATATATACACACGTATGCACACATACACATATATACACAAACACAGATACAGATACCTCTTAAAGATATAAAAAAATATATTTTATTTATGTAGCTTAATTTAATGTGACATTTTTTTTGTTCCTAGAGAGAGCTATCCAAAATCACGAATGCCTAGGGCACAGAGTTACCCAGATAATCATCAGGAATTTTCAGGTTAGACTGTATAATTTCTAAATGTTTAAATGTTTATGTGTCTGAAAATGTTTTGACTGGGAGGGAGAAGAGACAGTTTTTTAAAAATCAAATAAAAATTTTTAAATGTATTTTTAGAAATATTTGACTTTTTAAAAATAACATATATCTTTCTTACATGCTCTAGCAGACTATGATAACCCTATCTTTGAGAAATTTGGAAAAGGAGGAACATATCCAAGAAGATATCATGTGTCATATCATCATCAAGAATATAATGATGGTAAGTTTCTGGCAGTTAGATCACAGGAATAGCTTCCTTAAAGTAGCAAACAGAGTTGGGGGCCAGCAGGTGGTGTGGTGGTTAAGGCACTGGTCTCCCATATGGCTGAGCACGGTTCAGATCCAAGCCCTGACAGCTTGATAATCATGCCCACCATATGCCCGAAATTTAGAGGGGAGAATGGAGAAGGGATTGTGATGTGGCCATCCTCTCCTGGGGTTGATTTCTCACTTTTTCTCTCTCTGATGAGTGTACTTGCCTTATGGCAAAAACCTAAAAAAAAAAAAAAAAAAAAAAAAAAAAGAAAATAGTAAAGATAAATATAAAGCTTTTAAAATGTCTCTTGTATGATAGCATTTGAATAAAACTGTTCATGAATCACTTAGTTTTCTAGTTAAACTTTTTTTAATTTTTTTAGGAAATTGAGTCATAACTAAAATTATAGTAACATTTGAGCATTATGCCAGCCTAATCTCTTAATACTTGTCTTTCCTTTGAAAGGAAAGGAGTAACTTTAAAAATAATATTGGAAAATTATTCCTTCATCATGAAATTCATACTTCCATTGTTCCTTTAAGAAAAAAAAAATGCAACATATAAACCTCAATTTTTTTTAAAATCAATATTATAAATGAGAATAAATTTTTTTCTCCTTTTTTCCCCAAAGTGAAGGGGTTCTATTCCAGGACTTCACTTGTGTATGTCTTACCATGGAGATGATTCGAATTTGTCTTTAGATCTTGTTTCTTTTTGCCTTATAATCATTGCAATGTCAGTTTCTTTGCCTATTCACAGAACAAATTTCTACTCCCTGTGGTACAAATTCTAAAGAAGTCACCCCCCCATTATCTGTGATGACATTCAGAGAACCCCAGTGGATGCCTAAAACCACAGATGATACCAAACTCTATATAGAAACTGTGTTTTATTGGTCTGATAACCAAGATAACTGAATGGCTATCGGTAGAGAGCATATACAGAATAGACAGAGATATCATTCGTATATTGGACAGGGCAGTAAGATGATACAGGATCTCATCATGCTTCTCAGAACATTGTGGAATTTAAAATTGATGTATTATTTACTTCTGGAATTTTCCATTTAGTATTTTTGGGCAGTGATTGACCACAGGTGACTGAAACCCCAGAAAGCCAAACCTTGGATAAGGTGGGACTACTGAACATTTAAAGTACAACTTATTAATGAGGTAATTCTATTTTTATTTTGTAGGTCGTAAAACCTTCCCAAGGGCTAGACGGACTCAAGGGACCAGCTTCCGGTCTCCTGTGAGTTTCAGTCCTACTGATCATTCCTTAAGCACTAGTAGTGGAAGCAGTATCTTTACCCCAGAGTATGATGATAGTCGAATAAGAAGAAGAGGAAGTGACATAGACAATCCTACTTTGACTGTAATGGACATCAGCCCACCTAGCCGTTGTAAGTAATAGAAACTGGCATAGTGAAATGTGTAGCACAACCTTTGCTGAAGTCTATAGTGTTAAAAGGGATAAATACCAAGTGAATACTCAGGGTATGATGAACTCTTCAAAAAAGATAATAATGAGGGAACCAGCAGTTAGAGTAATGGCTATGTCACTGGACTCCCACGTAGTCGACCGCGGTTTGTGTCCCGGACCCAGTGGCTTAAAACTCAAGCCAGGCACGTGTGCGTGCGTGCCCAAGATCTCGAGAGGAGAATGGAGGAGAAGGGATTGCGGCGTGACCATCCCCCCTGGGGGGTGATTTCTCACTTTCTGTCTCTGTGTCTCTGTCTGTCTGGCGAGCGCACGCGCCCTATAGCAAAAAGCTCTCCAAAAAAAAAAAAAGATAATAATGATGGGCCAGCCTGTGTGGTGGTTAAGGCAGCTGGATTCCACATGGCCGACTATGTGATTTGAGTCAGGCAAGGTACACTGGTTTGCTTCCCTCTGAGTGAGGGATAGTGGTTCACTCCCGTCCAAGCAGGTTGAAAAACACTGGGCATGTGTGTGTGCGTGCCCAAAATCACTAGAGGAGAATGGAGAAGGTATTGTGACTTGGCCATCCCCCACTGGGGAGTGCTTTCTCTCTTGCTGTTTTTCTCTGGCAAATGTGTGTGCAGTATAGCAAGTTAAAAAAAAAGAAAGATATTGATGATATACTTTTTTTAAATTTGACTCAAGGAAAAGTGTATTTAATTGCTGTAGTATTTTTATGATTACCTGACTTAAAATCCTTTCAAATACACCCTATTCTTCTTGGTATTGGTGTCAATTTATTGTCTTTCTCATTCAAGTTCAAGTTTTTCTTTCTTCATATGATGATTGATTTTCAGTTGTACCTTGGGCATTTTGGTTATTATGTTACAAGATTCTTGATGTGGTTTAAATAATGTAATTAGAAAACTGTCACTCTGGGGCTGGCAAGTAGTGTGGTGGTTAAGGGCACTGGAGTTTATGGCTGCCTGTGATTCGAGTCCTGGACCTGGTGGCTTGCTTTCTCACTTTCTCTCTCTCTCTCTGTCCCTCTCTGGTCAAATTAAAATAAATGAATAAAAATAAATTTAAATAAAATAATTCTTTTAACAAAACAAAAATAAAAGAAGCTGTCACTCTGTTTAGATTTGGCATGTATATTCTAACCATTTCTGAGACTTTTCCAGTGACTCTTTAGTTTTCTTCCCTTGGATAAGCTGCTCCACTCTGCTTCATTTGTTTGGTGCCCCAGGAGCTCCTGTTGAATCCCTGCTGGTGTTATTTGTTTTTGTTTTTGTTTTTGTTTTTGTTTTTCCTTCTTTTTCATCATGTCCCTCTGATTGAAAGTGCTGTAGATGAAACAATCCCCCCTTGGGTTGGAATTAGGTTCTGTGCTGTGATGAAGGTCTCCTTCATTTTTCAACCTTAAGGCTTAGAGATAGGCTAACCAATCATAAACACCTATTTTTTACAGTTCTGGAGGCTGGGAAATCTGCGATCAGGGTGCTGGCATGGTTGTTCCTGGTGAAGGTTCTCTTTCTGGTGTGCAGATCACTGTCTACATGCTGGCTTTTGGTACCAGGAAGGTTAACTGCCATCCCAGATACACACGTAGAAATTCATCACTGGGATGGGACACAGTCAACATCTTGAGTCCCATGGGGACAATATTAATGGTGTTTCTGAATAGTTGGTTAGAGGTCACCTGTAAGTGTGTTATCCCTGCTAACTACTTTGGTTAATTCTGTCTTTTGCTTTTATTTGGAAAATTGTTATCAACTAGTTTTTTTTTCTTTTTCTTTTATTCATTCTACATATCCTTGTTGATTATGTAGTACTGAGTTTTCTTTACTGACCTCAAAGAGTCTAAAGGGAGAATGATATATGAAGAAATAATTATAGGAACCAGCAGTTATCGTAATGGCTACGTCGCTGGACTCCCATGTAGTCGACCACAGTTCGCATCCCAGACCCAGTGGCTTAAAACTCATGCTGGGCATGTGTGCGTGTGTGCCCAAGATCCTGAGAGGAGAACAGAGGAGAAGGGATTGCAGCATGGCCATCCCCCCTGGGGGGTGATTTCTCGCTTTCTGTCTCTCTGTCTCTCTCTGTCTGTCTGGCGAGCACACACGCACTATAGCAAAAACCTCTCAAAAAAATAAAGAAGAAATAATTATAGTACAATATTTAATCTTTATATTAATTGCAAGTAGAAATTTACCAGTTAAGGAGGTGACATATACAAGGGTCTATGGCATATTCTGAAAATAGGGAGTAGTTCATTTTTGGCTGGTATACAGGATATCTTACTTAAAATAATGGGGACAGGACTACGGAAGTAACTAAAGCCAGATGGCAAAGTATTTAGATATTATTATATAAGCAGTGCCTACAAAAGTTCATGCTTTAGAGATATTTATTGCCACAGTATTTGCATACTCTAAATTGCTCCCCTTTGTGTTAATGTTGTCATACTTTACTTTTACATTTGTGATCTCACACTGTATTGCTATTATTTTTTCTTTTAACGTAATTAAAAATAAGAGAAGAATGCCTTTTTATATATCTTTCCTATAATCTCTTTAGTTTATTCATTTCTATAGATCTTGGTTTACGGAGATCCAAGATTCTGTCAGGTATTAAATTCCTCTGCCTGAAGAATTGCATTTAAATTTCTTGTAAACAGGTCTGCTGATAATAAATTCCTTTAGCTTTCATTTGTTTGAAAAAGGTATTTATTTATCCTTTATTTTCGAAAGATACATATTTTTTCTAGGTATAGAAATCTAGGCCTAGTTTTCTTTTTCCCTTCTATTATTCAGAGCTATTCCTCTGATGTCTTTTGGTTTATTGGATTAAGGAGAAATGTGCTATAATTCTCATCTTTGTTTCTCCGTATATAATATGCTTTTTTACTCCCCACTGGTTGCATTCAGGATTATAGTTTTTTTTTGGTTTTCAACAGTCGAAATAAGAAATATGTCTATGTATACAAGGAATCTTCAAAAAGTTCATGAAGAAATGGAATTAAAGTATGAGTTTGTTTTGGTGCAAAACAGTTTTGAAATCCATATATAGTTTTTCATGGTATGAATTTTCTATGACCTATTGGAAAATGCTCATGTGTATGGAGAGGTTTCTAATTGATGTTCTCTGAGATTGTTATATATGTAGTTTGTGAAAAGTTCTCAGCACCTCTTTTTTAATGAAGAAATTGAATATTTTATTTATTTATTTATTTGCTGCAAAACTGTTGCTTCAACTGTATAAAATAGTACCAGCAAATATAGTATATTGCAAAACTAAAAATAGTACTATTCTTTGACACTATACAACTAGCAAAAACTTTTCTCCACTCCCAGTTATTTCCAGTGGAAGATTATTAAGTATTCTGACCCAAATCCAGAGATGGGTATAAACAAAATATAGTTTATATAAGGCTCAAGATAAGTGTTATCATTAATTACATAATTTTACATAGTTTTTATCACAGATAATTTCTTGAATTCTGAATACTTGAGCCTAGTCTAAGAATCATAGAATATTGTGAAAAAGATGCATTTTGTTTTTATCAAAAATATGATCATTAGAAAGTTAATTAAGGAGTATTTCTTCCCAGTAGTAGTGTTCAGAGTAGTTTCTTTTCAACTGATAACTGCTGAAAGTGGCTATTTTAAGTCTTATATCGACCACTAATTTAAGACAACTATGTTGGATTAAGTTGTTAACAAACACTACTTTATTTAAGGGTTCTAGTTTTACTCTTCAGTAGATTTTACATATTTCTGAAATGCTTCTTCACTCATTAGTTGATCTAGTCTGAAGGGTTATTTAGTGTCATCTTGGTCAGCTATCCATCTTCGTAATAAGATTTCTTGACAAGTCCTGCATTTTCTACAAGAGCTTCATTAATCTCAGTTTCTTCTCTTAATAGAGGAGAATAGAGTTCAGTGGCAGCTTTCCCACTTTCCAAAGCACCAAACTCTTCTTGTTTGTTCAATTTTGTCCCAACCTCAGGCAGACTACAATAAACTATCTCCCAAAGCTTCCTGTGCAAAATTGCTGATTCCCACTGTTCCAATACCATTTTCTGTTGTTATGTCTTCATATTTCCCTGTAGACTTACACACAGACAGCAGAACATATCCCATGTGCAGCGTCTGGGTGGCATTTGCCCTGGCACCTGGGTAGACAGGGCATGGCAGGCTGGCAGGGCACGGCAGTTGCCAGGCTGTGGGCTAGCTGCAGGACATGGCTGGCCCACTTTGCTTCTCCCATAATGCCATGTTTGCCTGGCTGCCAAAGGGCACGATGCTGCCCCCAGCACCTCTCTTCAAGTATTTCTTCTACCCATTTTTTTCCTTTTTCTTTTGGGATTACGATTACCTGTACAGAAGACTGTCTGATGTCCCACATCTTGGCTTCTTTTTCTTCCTCTCTAGTGTTTCACTTTGGGAAATTTTCTGTTGACCTGTTTTCAGGTTTACTGACTCTTTTCTCAGCCTAGTTGAGACTACTTATGATCCTATTGAAAGAATTCTTTATTTCAAAATCCTCTAGGATTTCTTTGCCTTTTTTGGTGCCTAACTCTTATCTCTCTGCCTTTATTTCCCCTCTCAACAGCTGATTGCTGCTACTTGTTAGTCTCAAATGGAAGAGGGGAATGGAGATTCTCTGTTCTGTGCAGCTTTAACCTTAGGCAAGCTCTTATCTCCTTGTTTCTCAGAGGTGGGCTATCTCAGTGATGCTGACCATCTTGCAGGAGTAGGAGAACTCTGACAGTCAAGGCTACAGAACATTTCCTGCCCCTTTCTCAGGAGTAGGATTCCCCCCACACACATCCCTATTTCCCTACTCAGTGGGTCTCCACCTGTAAACTGAGGGTGACAGGGTTTGCCACCCTTCCTCCCACAGTCTAAGGCTCTTTTTTCTTAGATGATAACGTTTTAGGAGGGGCTTTCTATCTTTCCCCAACAGTGGATCATTCTCTTTCTCTAAGCTTCAACCACCAACAGAGGCTTTCTCTGGTCTCCTGCTCCTGTGAGTGTGCGATGGAGGTCCACAGACATGACTGAGTAAGTGTAGACTTGCCTTGTGTCTGGATCTTCCAAAGAGTTGAGACTCATGGGGACAGCAGGTGGCATGGTGGTGGCATGGTGGTTAAGGTGCTGGACTCCTACATGGTAGACCCATGGTTTGAGTCCCAGCCCTGGTGGCTTACTTTATCACTTCCCCCCTCTCTCTCTCTCGTTTTCTGTCTCTCACTGGTCAAATTAAAAAAAAAAAAAAGATCATAGATAATTTGTTATTAATTTTTAATTTACGAGGGGGAGAGAGAGAGAGAGAGAGAGAAAGTGAGATAGCAAACCTCCAGGTCCAGGACTCAAACTGCAGTTGGCCATGTGAGAGTTTAGCACCTTAACCACCTTGCCACCTACTGGCCCTAGTAAATAAATCTTAATTAAAAAAAAAATGTTGATACTCGTATACCAGCTGATACTTGTTTAAAAGGGAACTGAGTTCCTACCTGCTTAGATGGGTCTTTTTCTTTGCCCTCTGCCATAGGGAAACAGTGCTTCCATTTCATCTCTTCCTTTATTTTTTCCTCAGGTTTTTGTCATAGGGTGTGTATGCTTGCCAGAGACAGACAGAGAGGGAAAGTTAGAAATCACACCTCAGTGATACTGTCTTAAGGCTGAGCCGTGGTTGACATTTTGAGGACAGTGGATTACCTAGACTGTGAGCCCTGCGCCTGCACTCATGGGAGCCTGAGCCGTCTATGCAGCTTTCTCCCTTTGTCTCATAACCATGTCCACCAATGGGAATGCTAATTCACCAGGTGCCTGCCCATCTTAACAGATTCAAGAACAAGGGAAAAGACAGTACAGAAATGAGGACGCCAAGAATAGAAGTTAATGTGGAGCTGAGAAGAGCTCAGAAGGATGACCAGATGCTGAAAAGGAGAAATGTAAGCTCATTTCCCGATGACGCTACTTCTCCACTGCAGGAAAACCGCAACAACCAGGGCACTGTAAATTGGCCCCGTTGGTGACATTGTCAAAGGCATTAATGGCAACAATTTGGAAAGCCAGCTCCAGGCTACTCAAGCTGCTAGGAAGCTGCTTTCTAGGGAAAAACAACCCCCCCGTAGACAGCATCATCCAGGCTGGGTTGATTATAGTCCCATCCAGTTTGAATCTGCATGGGCAGTCACTAACATTGCTTCTGGGACGTCAGAACTGACCAATGCTGTGGTGGACGGAGGTGCTATCCGTGTTCATTTCTCTTTTGACCTCTCCCCACACGCACATCAGTGAACAAGCTGTGTGGGCTCTAGGGAACATCGCAGGGGATGGTTCAGTTTTCTGGGACCTGGTTATCAAGTATGGAGCAGTTGACCCGCTGTTGGCTCTCCTTGCAGTTCCTGATATGTCATCGTTAGTATGTGGTTACTTACGTAATCTTACCTGGACACTTTCAAACCTCTGCCTCAACAAGAATCCTGCACCCCCGCCAGATGTTGTTGAGCAGATTCTTCCAACTTCAGTTCATCTTCTGCATCACGATGATTTAGAAGTATTAGCAGTTACCTGCTTGGCTATTTCCTACCTTACCAATGGTCCAAATGAACGGATTGAAATGGTTGTGAAAGCAGGAGTTGTTCTCCAACTTGCGAAGGTTCTGAGAGCTACTAAATTGCCCATTGTGACTCCTGCCCTAAAAGCCATAGGTAATACTGTCACTGGGACAGATGAATGGACTCGGGCTGTGATAGATGCTGGAGCACTCGCCGTCTTCCCCAGCCTGCTGACTAACTCCAAAACGAATATTCAGAAGGAAGCTACGTGGACCATGTCCAACATCACCACTGGTCAGCAGGACTAGATCAAGCAGGTTGTGAATCATGGGTTATTCACGTTCTTTGTCACCGTGCTCTCCAAGGCTGACTTGAAGACACAGAAGGAGGGGCTATCAATTGGCATAATGGCTATGTTGCTGGACTCCCATGTAGTCGACCATAGTTCAAGTCCTGGACTTGGAGGCTTAAACCATGCCAGGTGCATGTGCATGTGTGCCCAAGATCCCAAGAGGAGAATGGAGGAGAAGGGATTGCAGGGTGGCCATCCCCCCTGGGGGGTGATTTCTCACACTCTTTATAGTAAAAACCTCTCAAAAAAAAAAAGAAAAAAAAAAGGCTGTGTGGGCTGTGACCAACTACACAAGTGGCAGGACAGTGGAGCAGATTGTATACCTCATTCACTCTGGCATCACAGAACCACTGGTAAACCTTTTAACTATGAAAGATATAACAAAAATTATTCTGGTTATCTTGGATGCCATTTCAAATATCTTTCAGGCTGCTGAGAAGCTAGGAGAAACTGAGAAACTTAGTATAATGATTGAAGAATGTGGCGGCCTGGATAAAATTGAAGCCCTACAAAACCATGAAAATGAGTCTGTGTACAAGTCTTCATTAAACTTGATTGAAAAGTATTTCTCTGTAGAAGAAGGTCAGAATGTTGTGCCCAAAACTACCTCTGACAGCTACACCTTCCAAGTGCAGGATGGGACTAAGGGCCTTTAACTTCTAGACTGCACAGCTGAGGCACAGAGGGGTTTGTTGTGTGCTGTGTTTGATATAAGTTTGTCTTACTATTTGTCTACCAAGAACTCTTTTTAAATGTGGTTGTTGTTGTAGCACTTTTTACAATGAAACTATACTTGAACAGTTCCAAACTGTGCATATTGCATTGAGCTTGTCCTCCAAATGGGCTTCTTATTTCCGTGTGGAATTTCAAACCTTGCAATGTCCTGTAAATAAAATTAAATTCCACCCTTTTCTTTAAAAAAAAAAAAAATCACACCTCAGTGATCGACCATATAGAAATCCCTTTTCCTCCTGGGATTTTGGACATGCATGCACACATGCCCAGTGTGATTTTCAAGCTGCCAGGTCTGAGAGTCAAACCATGTCTGCCATGTGGGAGTCTAGTACCTCAACCACTATGCCATCTTCTGGCCCTAGTGTTTCATCTCTTCTTGGTGGTACCTGCTTTTCCTTAGATTTCAGGCTAGTAGGTTGCTCTGCAATCTGAGTTTTATGATCGGGTCAATAAAGATTATAATTTTGTAGATAACCTAGATTTCTCTTGTTCAAATGGGAATGTTGCTCTTCCCAGCTTTCTATCTTGTAAGCAGAAACTGAAAACTAACTACAAATACTGCTGCAATAAAGATTAGAAATAATAGAAATAGTGTAATCTTGGATTGAGTGAAAGATGTTGTTACATTTATAATCAGGAAAAAATAATCTGTTGGAAGAAAAATGAGTCATGGAATATGATCTTTGTTTGGGTTTAGAATTCCTAAAACGTTGAAAGGCTCTAACTAGTATGCATTTGATAGTCATGATTTTCCCTTATATCCCAGCACATTCAATAAAGGATATCACTATATTTATTTAGTCCTTAACCATTCATGTGCCATCTGACTGTTCCATCTTAAGAAAGTGTTCTTTTTCAGCACCTCGAGCTCCAACCAACTGGAGATTGGGCAAACTGCTTGGCCAAGGAGCCTTTGGCAGGGTCTACCTCTGTTATGATGTCGATACAGGAAGAGAGTTGGCTGTTAAGCAAGTTCAGTTTGACCCTGATAGCCCTGAGACAAGCAAGGTAAACATCACTGCAGAAACTTCTTTGTTACATTATAAGGACCATTATTACTAAAACAAAAACAAGAACTGATATAAAATGAAGTATAATTTTGGGGTTTTCTTTAATATGAAGTTTTTGCAAAACAGTAGATGATCAGATATGTTTATCTACTTTATGCGGTGACTTTTCAGTTTTTAATACTTCAGTTATGGTCTTCAGCTGATTTAGTTTTGCTTTAGCATACCATCAGGGTATGTTTAAAAAGGTATTGGTTAGAGACTTTAAAATTTTTGTTATGGGGCTAGCTAGTAGCATGGAGGTTAAGGTGCTGGGTCTCACATGGCTGACTTAGAAGTTTGAGTCCCAGACCTGGCAACTTGAAAATCATGCTGGGCATGTATGTGCCATATGCCTGAAATCCTGATAGGAGACTGAAGGAGGAGAGATTGTGGTATAACCATTGCCCTGGGAGGTGATATCTCACTTTCCTTCTTTATCTCTCTGACAAGCACAGTTGCCCTATAAACTTTAAGTAAGTAAGTAAATAAATAAAGTTTGTTCCTTGGAAACTAGAAATTTCAGAATGAAATCACCTTGACAGCCCATGAACTTGGAAATCTTTGCTTTCACTAACAATATTGTAAAGACTTAACAATGAGTTCTGTCTTTCAGGAAGTAAACGCACTTGAATGTGAAATTCAGCTGTTGAAAAACTTGCTGCATGAACGAATTGTTCAGTATTATGGCTGTTTGAGGGATCCCCAAGAGAAAACACTTTCCATATTTATGGAGTATATGCCAGGGGTAAGTCATTACATTGTTTTGAATATAAACTTAGTCTATTTAAAGTGTTAGTTGAGGGTAGAAAAACAAGAGAAAATTTTATTACAAAAAGTTAACACTAGCTAAGGACAACTTTTTGGAAAAGTTTTAAATTAGAGCTGGATAAGAATTTATTTTCTACCTTCTTCATCTTTCTTTGTATTTATTAACTGGTTACGGTTAAAGTGTTCTAAAGTAGGTTACATGCATCATAGCAGTCCATCCTGAGTTCCCTAAATGTCCTGAAAATGTTTATTATAATTGATTTATCCAAACGAGGTTCCAGTTTAGGATCACACATTATATTCAGTTGTGTCCCTAGAACAGTCAGTTTTTACATGATATAGATTTGACAAATAGGCCATGGTAGTTGTTTCTTAAAGAATTACTTTATTTAACTTTGTTTTTTCTTTCTGTCTATCTACCTATTGATCGATCAGTAGATCGACCTATGTATCTATCTATTTATTTACTTATATGGCCAGAGAGGGACAGAGAGAGAAAGTGAGAGAGCAAGCTACCAGGTCCAGGACTCAAACCACAGTCAACCATGTGGGAGTCCAGTGCCCTTAACCACCATGCCACCTGCCAGCCCTAATATAGTTGCTTCTTAACAGTTTGATCTCGAATTTCTCTAATTGCATCCATGTAGATTTTTGTTCAGTTTGTTCCTTCATCTTTCTATTTTTTTAAATTATAAGTTACGTCTGAAGTCTACATTACATTCTAATTCAGCCTTTTTTAATTTGATACATCATATATGAGGCTATGTACTTCATGTTGAGTGCTATCAGGAGACATACAATTTCTGGTTGTTCCATTGTGATGCTAAGAATGATTACTAGATTAGAGTGATTGATACCCTGATTGTTAAATTATAAAGTTTGTCTTGTTCTGCAGCCCAGAAAGTAATCTCAATTCAGTGCCATATATAAACATCTCGTTCTTTTCACCACCACACCTAGTGTTTTTAACATCCGTTGATGGTCATTGCTCAAATCAGTACTTACTTTTCTTCTAAGAGGTTTTTGCTATAGGGTGCATGCGCTTTCCAGAGAGACAAGAGAGAGAGAAAGCAAGAAATCACCCCCTGGGGGGAGGGCCATACTGCAATCCCTTCTCCTCCATTCTCCTCTCAGGATCTTGGGCACACATGCACACATGCTCAAGTGGGTAAGCCACCAGAGCCGGGACTCGAACCATGGTCAACTACATGGGAGTCCAGGGACGTAGCGTTATGCTATCTGCTGGTCCCCAAAATTAGTACTTTCATTAGGAGCTGGAAAAGTGTTATTTGTGATCTCTATCATTCCTTATATGTTACTTTCTGTGTTTTTAGAGTGCATTCTAATACTACTGATTTTCAAGATGGTGGTGATTAAAAATACATGCATTCTTGGGTCAGCTCTATGGTGCAGTGGTAGAGTGCTGTGCAAGTGAAGCTGGACTCCACGTGACAACCATGGTTTGGATTTCTGGCCCAGTTGGCCTGAAACATACTGGGACATGTCCACAAGTGCCCAAGATCCAATGGGCTGGATCCAGGACTTGAAGAGGGGTGTATCCTGGCATGATCAGACCCTATGGAGGGGTGTTCCTCTCTCTCTGTCACTCACTTATTCTCACTCCCATTTATTTGTACATGTATATGCTGTCTCGTGAATAAAGGAAAAATAACTTTTAGAAAACATGCATTTGCATAATTTAGTAGGTAGCATATGTTAGAAAAAGTTTTAATTGATGATTCTTTATGGGTTGCTGATTAGAATTTTATATACAGTGTACAAGGTTGCACTTTTAGCTTACAGATCAGTAAAACTATCTGGATCAGTATCAAATGGTAATTTTCTTAACCATCCTCAGTGTCACAAGAGCAGCAACTAACTTCTTATCATCACGAAAATTGTGCATAATGATACTATGGTTACAGTGGTTATCATTACCACTTTTTATTTTTAAAGATTCTGTTGCCAGTATATTTGGTTTTTACAAATCTTTGAAAAAAAAAAAACTGGATGTGTTAAAGGCTTTTGAGATATTGGAGCCTTTTGACTTCGCGATCTCACAGAAGTAATCCAAAAGATGCAAAACTCTGCACATTTATTTTAGTATTATCTTTTGGGTCATTGGAAAAGTCATGGTGCATTTTTGTTTTGAACAACATAGAAAAATATGTCATAACTTTTCTGACAATCCAAAATAATGGTAGAAATAAAAGAGGGATATTAACAGTGGCAGTTAATGGGAACCAGCAGTTAGCGTAATGACTATGTCGCTGGACTCCCACGTAGTCTACTGCAGTTCGCATCCCGGACCCAGTGGCTTAAACTCATGCCAGGCACATGTGCGTGCATGCCCAAGATCCCAAGAGGAGAATGGAGAAGGGATTGCGGTGTGACTATCCCTCCGGGGGGTGATGTCTCACTTTCTGTTTCTATGTTTCTGTCTGTCTGGCGAGCGCACGTGCCCTATAGCGAAAACCTCTCCAAAAAAAAAAAAAAAAACAGTGGCAGTTCATTATAACAGCATTCTCTTAAGAGAGTATATGTTAATTAAAATAATGAACGACCCTGTAGTGAAGTTGGAGGAAGTTATTGTAAGAGAGGAAAATATAAACTTTTTAAATTTAATTTTATTTATCCATTTATTTCAGTTTGTCCAGAGAAGGTCAGAATGAGAGAGAGAGAGAAGGAGATGGGGGGAAGAAAGTGAGAAAGCAAGCTGCCACGTCTGGGACTCAAACTGCAGTTTGCCATGTGGGAGTCCAGTGCCCTTAGTCGCCACACCACTTGCCATCCCCTAAACTTTTTAATAGTTTTTTTGGGGACCAGAAGTTGGCGTAATAGCTATGTCATTGGACTCCCTCATAGTCAGCCACGGTTTGAATCCCAGACTCCAGGCGCATGTGCGTGCATGCCCAAGATCCCGAGAGGAGAATGGAGAAGGGATTGCGGTGTGACCATCCCCCCTGGGGGGTGATTTCTTGCTTTCTGTTTCTCTATCTCTCTCTGTCTTTCTGGTAAGCACATGCACCCTATAGCAAACCCCTCCCCCTCCCCCCCAAAAAAAGAAAAAAATAGGGTTTTCTTGCTATATAGTATGTGTGCTTGTGAGAGAGAGAAATCACCTTCCTCCCTTCCCGGTGGAGCGGCCATGCCACAGTCCCTTCTCCAGTCTCCTCTAGGGATTTTGGGACATGCATGCACACATTCCTGGCATGATTTTCAAGCTGCCAGGTCTGGGACTTGAACCATACAGCCAGCCATGTGGGATTCAGCACCTTAATCTCCATGCCACCCTCTGTCCCAGAATATAAACTCCTTTCCAGTAATGATTATGATATTAAAAATGTACCTAGGCCTAGCCGTGGTGGCATGTGCTACTGAGATGTTATGCTTCACAGACTAGAATCACCTGGGAGGCTCAGGTTTAAATTTTGTTGCAACTTGAAGGCTAGTTCAGTGGTATGTGCCTGTAATCCCAGTCATTTAGGAGGCTGAGGCAGAAGAATTGAGACATAATGAGACCTTCTGTCTTAAAAAGAAAGAAGGACTAGTGGAGTGCACGTGCCCTACAGCTAAAAATCTCTTAAAAAAATAAATAAAAATAAGGGCCAGTTAGACGGTATGGTGGTTCGTATGGTGGTTAAGGTGGCTGTATTCTACATGGCCAACCACGTGGTTCAAGTCCTGGATCTGGTGGCTTGAGGATTATGCTGGGCACATGTATATGCATGCCCAGAATCCCAAGAGGAGAATAAAGGAGATTATGGTGTAGTCATCTCTCCAGAAGTTGCTCTCTATCTCCTGTCAATGCATGTACAAAATAAACAAGAAAAATGTATTTGTATTTGGACAAGGACTAAAGAAATTAGGAAAAATAAAATGTGACATGTTGGGATTGTGATTTTTTTTTTTTTTAATTCTAATTTCCATTACTGTTTGTGCAATAAATATTAAATTAGGGATAGGAAATAATTATGAATAAATATGGTTAGAGATCCCAGATTTTTGAAGATAAGATTAATGAAAATAGTTGGTTAAAACTGATTTACATCACAAAAATGTATAATCTTTACATATTCAGCTGTCGAAGACTAAATTAGGACTCTTCAGGAGGAGATGGTAGATTGTGCTTCTCACTAGCTATGTTTCATTTCATAAGGGCAGCTGTCTTCTTCAAAGCATCAGCAGTCATTCCTTGAATTTGAAAAGTATCTGACTAAATGACAGCTCATTGATAATGCAAATAAATTATACAGCATACATAGCAAACACATGGCAGTTGCTAGACATGAATATGTTCCTAGACTTTTCCTGAATCTCCAAGTTTATGAATGAGGCTGTGTAATTTTCCTCTTTAAAGTTAGTGTGAAGGGCCCTTTATGGCCTGGAGTTAAGTAAGCTCTGTGATTCCATTTTCACTTTTCCCAAACTTTTATTTTTATGAAGTTTATTTATTTATTCCATAAAAGAAAGAAAGAAAGAGCCAGCAGGTGACGTGGAGGTTGAGGTGCTAGATCCCACTGACCGACTGTGGTTTGAGGTCCGGACTTGGCAGCATGAAAAATATACCAGGCTAGGGCCAGCACATGGCGTGGTGATTCAGGCTCTGGACTCTCACATATGACAGTTTGTTTTCTCTCTTTCCTTCAGTCTTTCTCTTTCACTGGTGAGTGCACATGCCCTGTAGCAAATTAAAATAATAACAACAGAGCTAAATTCAATTAAATACATAATTTTTTTAAAGAATTATTTTATTTAACTTTATTTATTTATTTATTTTTGAAATTTGACCAGAGAGGGACAGAGCAAGAGAGAGAGAGAAAGTGAGAAAGCAAGCTGCCAGGTCCAGGACTTGATCTGCAGTCAGCCATGTGGGAGTCCAGTACCCTTAACCACCACTCCACCTGCTGGTCGCAATACATAATTATTTTTAAAAAAGAGAGAGAGAAAAGAAAAACACACCAGGCACGTGTACTTGTGTCATGACCATCCCCACTGGGGGTTGATCTCTCATTTTCCCTGTTTTCTCTCTCTGTGTCTCTGGTGAGTGCATGTGTCCAATGGCAAAAATAAAAATAAATTAATTAATTAAAAGAGTGAGAGAGGATAGAGAGAGAGGGAGAGAGGCAGGCACACCAACAAGGTTCTCATACTGCACAATCCATTTCTAGCTAGCCTGATCATGGGTATGTATGCACATACCCAGAATGTGCCAGGAGGCTCAAGACATGAATGTGGGACCTTCCCTTTTGGGTCCGGCGTCATAGAGCACAGCGCTACCCCCGCACCATTGGCTGGCCCTAGTCTTCCCAAACTTACCACTCCATTTCTTACTTTACCTAGAACTACTTTCAGACTTGGACCATAACTAGCAGTTGGCTTCATTATGTTTCTCTCTCTCTCTCTCTCTCACACACACACACACACACACACACACACACACACACACACAGTTTTTAGCTGACATGGTACTTCTCAGTTGATTCCAGTTGTACACACTGAAAAAATGAACAGTTTTATAGTATACAGTTGTAGATTACACTGATGGAGCTGTTAGTCACTGGTCCAACTTGCCCAGAGGATCCATAATTGCATCACCCATTTGCAGCTTATTATTGCAGTCTAAATATTTTCTATACTTTGTGGCCTGTAGTTTGGAAAACCTGTTCTAGCAGAGTTGTTCTGAATATCACTGCAAGTAGAGACAGCGTAAATAGGACTGACTCTGGCCTTGGTGGTAGGGCAACTGGATCGTGCAGGGCTGACCATGTAGTTTGAATCCTGGACCTGGTGGCCTGGAAAACACACTGTGTGTGTGTGTGTGTGTGTGTGTGTGCCTGCTCAAAATCCCAACAGGGGGAAGAAATGAAGGAGAAGGGATTGTGGCAAGATCATGCCCTACTCAGAGGTGCTTTCTCTTTCTCCCTTTCTGTCTGTCTCTGTCTGTCTTTCACTGATGGGGGCACACACTCTCTAAGGGGGGGGAGGAGACAGAGTTAAGTAGACTGTGAACAGATAAGCCACACTGAATGATAGGTGTGTGGCTGACTGGGCACACTTATTGCTTAAGGCTTTCTACATGTGTTTGTAAGTTTGGGTCTACACAACTACACAGACTGTTGACTCTTCAGGGAATACTCATGAATAGTGGAAACAGCAAATGGTTAAATCTGTAAAACCCAAGGATCTACTTTTACATGACAGAGTACATAGTTTGCCAAAATTAAAGGAAAGGCAGAAACATTTGGATATATTTTCTTGTTTAAAAAAAGATCTGTCTCCTAGCAAACATTTCATTTTAATTTTTTATTCTTTTTTAAAAAATTATTTATTTTATTTTATTTATTCATTCACTTATTTTTTAATTTGACCAGAGAGAGACAGAGGGTGAGAGTGAGAGAGAGAGGAAATGAGAAAGCAAACCACCAGATTCAGAACTTGAACCCTGGTTGGCCATGTGGGAGTATCCAGCGCCTTAACCACCATGCCATCTGCTGGTCCCCTTTTCTTCTTTTTCCTTTGTTTCTGATAGCGCACATGTGTATGCATGTGAGAGAGAAAGCGACGAACACCTTCCACAGGGTCTGGTCATGCTAGATCTCCTTCCTCCATTCCTCCAGCCCATCAGATCTTGGGTGCATACTTAGCATGTCTCAAGCTGACCAGGCTGGTGACCGTGTTTACCATATGAGATCTGGCGTCTTTTGAGCAGTGCATTACTGCTATGCCACAGGGCTGGCCTCATTTTTAAAGTGATGATTATTAGTCATACTTGTACATTGGAAACACAAGGAAGCTTTTTCAAAATCCAAGTGCCTATTTCTCAACCTCACACTGACTCAGCATTCTGAAATGACCCTTCATTTTTTTTTTTTTTTAAAGAGAGATATTTTTGCGGGACTGGCAGTTGGTGTAATGGCTGTGTCGTTAGGCTCCCACATAGTCGACTGCAGTTTGAGTCCTGGACCCGGTGGCTTAAACTCATGCTGTGTGTGTGTGCGTATGTGTGTGCCCAAGAAGAGAATGGAGGAGAAAGGATTGTGTCCCCCCTGGGGGGGGGGGGGCGGTGATTTCTCGCTTTCTCTCTGTCTTTCTGGCAAGTGCATGTGCCCTATAGCAAAAATATCTCTCTCTATTTTATTTTATTTTATTATTATTTTTTTGAGAGGTTTTTGCTATAGGGTGCATGCACTTGCTGGAGAGAGAGACAGAAAGCAAGAAGTCACCAGTCACCCCCGGGGTTGTTGGCCACACTGTAGTCCCTTCTCCTCCATTCTCTTCCTGGGATTTTGGTCATGCACGCACATACGCCTGGCATGTGTTTTAAGCTGCTGTCCTGGGACTTGAATTGCACTCAACTACATGGGAGTCCAGCAATGTAAACATTATGCCATCTGCTGGTCCTGACACTTCATCTTGCCCTAAAACATACTTAACAAAATTTGAAGTTCTCCTGTAATGTATTTTCTAAATTTTTTTAAACTAATGTATTGAGTTTAAAAAGGAAAAAAAACTTCAAATTTCCTGTGTTTTTATTTTCTAATCATACTCATTCTTTCTCCTGAGAAATAAATGAGCAAATTTCAATAAAAACACATTAAAAGATAAAGTAAGAATAAAGTAGACAGTTCAATAGGATATACTTGGATGAGTGAATTCAAGATCTGATGGACGGGAGGAAGGGAATTGGGCTTGACCAGACCTTGTGAAGAGTGGTTGTCTTTGGGACCAGCAGTTAGTGTAATGGCTATGTTGCTGGGCTCCCATGTAGTCGACTG